TTACATTCTTTCATACCTATGTTAGATCTTTTCTTTTGCTCTTTCTGTGATATCTCATTTTTATACTGTGTGAGTCCGTTCAACTTGATTATATAACCGTTTTGTTATGCTGAAAAATAGGATTCATTGTTGATTCTATTCAAGCAGTAAATATTAAAACTTAGGTCTCAATCAATTTCATAGGTTTTGTCGCTTTCCTGGTTGAAGTTGGTCTTCAGATGCCTTACCATGTTCATATTAAGATTTTCGATATTCGTTTCCCTCCGTTTTAAAACATTAACATTACCAGTAGAGAATAATATACAACAGTATCACAGAAAAGCGTTTACATTCGTATACGAAATATAACTGCGTTTAAAGGATGCCCTGCAACCTAAATACGCTATAAGAGATCCTGTTGATCAGTCGAAAGCGAGGGTATCGTCGTATCGACAATGCAAGTAGCAGCATCGTTGAAGATTCGCATAGGTTACGAAGATTACAACTGATCACCGATCTCATGGCGGTGAAGAACGCGAGTTACTCTGTATGCGTGGGCAGCATTAGGTGAAACATCGCTACAGAATGTGGCCTTCAACATCTTCGCGATATAACGAAGTATGAACTACGACCAACCACACTGCTACAACTGGATATTTCGGTTCATGTTAATATGCAGCAGCTCGTGCCAAGAAGAAGCAATTCAATTGGAAATTTAAATGAGGGCAGAATTTCCCGTCCGTTACAAGCCGAAAATCATTAGCTATATATCAAAATCTATTTTCTAGAGATTTGTGAATGCAGAATCGTTCATCGACGTCGTGAAAAACACGTTTCGGGTTCACATTCCTAGATGAGTATATTCGCAAGGGTGGCGACAATAGTCTTAAAAGTCCACATGAATCACCAAACAAACGGTCGGCTCAAAGCAACTGCAACAGCGAACTTACAAATCAAGGCGTCCTTAAGGCAAAGATATCAAGAAGAAGAAATCTGACTGCAGACTAACACCGAAGAGCTACGATCAACCGTCTGCAGGTGCTTACTCTCACAGGAGGTAAGACAATGCATCATGCCATCTGTCGCCTCTATGTCGAATTACGTTTAACTCGATTTGACTCTTAGCAACACATTTACTTCAGAGTTTCCATTTAGCCAGTCAGCTGCTTCCAATCAGAACGCTATGGTGAGATTTTCCGCCACTGTAATTTAGCTTCTCCCCATTTGCTTCTAATTTTTTGCTTCACTTTTCTTATACTACACGTTCTGCACAGTGCTTTGCTCATGCGATCATCAGGTTCATTTTTCATCAATAAATCACCGGAACCTGCAAA